CCCGTGCCCGCGCCGTCCGCCCGCCGGTAGTCGCTCGATCCTGCAGCAGCCACAGCGAGGCGACCGTGCGCAGCGAGCCGGAGGCGCGGGTGTCTGGGTAAGGCCGAGCCCGGGAGCATGATCGTGGACAAGCTGCTGGACGACAGCCACGGCGCAGAGGGGCTGCTGGACGCGGCCGGCGACTGCGGCCTCATGACCAGCCCGCTCAACCTGGCCTACTTCTACGGGGCTTCGCCGCCGGCCGCCGCCCTGGGCGCCTGCGATGCCAGCTGCTCGTCGTCGGGGCCCTCGGCGCCCGGCTCGCCCGGCTCCGACTCCTCCGATTTCTCCTCCGCCTCGTCCGTGTCCTCCTGCGGCGCCGTCGAGTCCCGGCCGAGAGGCGCCCGCGCCGAGCGCCTGCAAGGTAGCCGCCCGCCGGGCGGGGACCGGCCCGGCACCCCAGTCTACGCCGGGCCCACCCGCCTGCGAGGGTAGGGGCGGGCTCCCCAGATGGGAAGTGCCTGGGGCCCGTGCGCGCCCTCCGCAGCCGCAGGACATCAGCACGTTAGCCATCGTTTATTAAGCGCCTGCTGGTTGCCTTACCCTGGGCCGGGCTCCTGACGTAACTCGGTGGCCTTTGACCATCTGTGAAATCCCGGCGCCGTCCAGCTGGCCCTGGAGCTTTTGAAGCCCCACTCAGCAGAGCGCTGACTCCTGGCGGGAAAGAACGTTAGATCTCTCTCACAAAACAGCATTCTTGAGTTTAATGTACTGTGACGAGGTTTTGGGTCAGATGTAGGTGTAATTTTCTCTTTTTATACTGTTTTTCTTTAATAATCATCTTTACAGTGAGGAGTGGGTGTAATTTTTTTTCTTGAGGCTGTTTTGGTGAAAAGCTGTAGCAGAGGATAAGGGTTTGGGAACTGTGTTTGAGGTCGTGACTTAAAGCGTTAGTAAGATGAAGCTGAAGTGGGTGTAATTTTTTTTCTTGAGGCTGTTTTGGTGAAAAGCTGTAGCAGAGGATAAGGGTTTGGGAACTGTGTTTGAGGTCGTGACTTAAAGGGTTAGTAAGATGAAGCTGGACTGTAAACCAACTCAAGTCTGTAGTTGGTGTTGACAAGGTTCAGGAGACTGCCCACACGTTCTGCAGTCTTCTGTTGTTTTATGGTGGCTGGCTGGTAAGGGGATCTGAACCCTTGACCTTGGTGTTACAAGGCTGTACGTTAAACCAACTGAGCCAAGTGCCACCGTCTTTCCTTTTATTTGTTCTGTGTGCTTTAGAATGGGTAAAGCCATAGCTAGCAAAGAAAGTCATTAAGTTTCCTCTGTAAGGCTGTGAATTAGTTAGTTTCTTTTCTTAATGAACCGAGTTGCATAATTTGAGGGAAAATAGGATGCTGCTGTGGGCAGACTACAGAGAACGTCTAGACAATCTCAAACGTTGGAGAGCCCAATCAACATGATTTTAAAGAACGTCTCCGGTATTCCCTACTGCTAGCCACTCCTGTTTTGGTTGTCTTTTATTTTAAAAAGTGATTTTAAATTTTTATTTAAAATCATTTAAAAAGTGATTTCAGCCACTGTATGTTAAGTGTGTAACAGAACCAAAAAGCGTGTGTATATTTAGGACCTTTTCTTCCACATTTGGTCTTCATCTGGCAGAAACTATTTTGCTGGTTCCTTGGTTTACCACACAGCCATAGGGGATTTCTGAAAGCGCATTTTTCTCCCTGTGACGCTAACTTATTAACTGCTGCCATTCCAGAGAAATTTTGTGTTAGATTCTGGCAGTTCCTAAACGTAAATGTAAAACCAACTAATTGTTTAATTCTCCCTATCATTGAGCTGTTTATCTCATGTATTTAATATATGTATGTGTGTGTGTCTGTGTTCAAATTATGCAGTTTTTCTTGTTTGATCTTCTTACTTTTTCCCACACTCTACAGAGTGGCTGAATTATTCATTTCCTGACTTTCTGCGTGTTTATGTTCAACTCATATCCCAAGAGATTATGACATAATCGTGGTCAGAAATGGAATACTGTACTTAAAGTGCATTTTAAAGTTTAAATGTGAAAACGAGCATATTTCCTTTTTACTTAGAAGGCCTATGTAAGCAATTTCAAAAAGTCAGCGAGGGGAAATCCTGTAGGTTTATGTGAAAATGTGTTTAAGCTCAGTGAATTTAAGCGGCTTTCTTGGCACAGATGAATTGAGGGAAATAATAAATAAATCTAAGACATTGTTAATTGTTAGGTTTTGGTACATTGAGATCTCTGGAGGAAGTTATTTTGTTCCTTCTTAGGTGAGTGGAATTAGTAGACTTTAAAATTTCCTTTGGTTTGGAAAGCTAAAAATGCATCATTTATCCCGTCCTCCAAAGTTTTTCCAAAGTCAAGAATAATTATAGATCTGTGAGAATCAGGGTGGTAAAATCTGTGTTCCTGTTTCATGGCTAGATAGGATTGAGAGACAGAGAGGCTTAATTTGAGGCTACGTATTGGTTCTGGGGATCCCTGACCACCTTTTTATGAGTTTTAAATCCTTAGGGTACCTGTCAGGGAAAGTTATCAGGCAACACAGAATCTTTGAGTAGAGCTGGGGACTGACACGCAAGGCCATTGACCAGAGTGAGTTGGAAAGGCTTTGCAGTCTGTTGCTTAGAGAGTGTATACATTAGACAGCTATGCCTTTGAGGTTATTAATGTTTGTGTAGAGATTTAAATGAGATATGTTTTGTTTTCTTTTGAACAGTTGAGCCCCATATGGGGGTTGGCAGGCAGCAGAGAGGACCCTTTCAAGGTGTTCGTGTGAAGAACTCAGTGAAGGAACTCCTGTTGCACATCCGAAGTCATAAACAGAAGGCTTCTGGCCAAGCTGTGGATGATTTAAAGGTGGCACCTATTTTTTGTTTTGAGTGGTGTGGGGAGGAGCTTAGTCTGTCAAGGCTATCATTCTGTGCTGACCTAGGTCCAGAAAGTCAACGGTTTTTCAGTAACAACAAAGTCCATAAGACAAAGACCATATTTTTCTTGTTGTTTGCTCTATTTCTATCACTTAGTCCAGTGCCAGGCATCTGGTGGGTGCATAAGAGAAATTTAATGAATATTAAATGAAAGCAAATTAGGGGCAAGGAAATAAATGGGGCTCAATTGAAATGGAACATTTTGACTAGAAAGGGAAAAATCAAATGGCTTTATTCATTTCATCTTGACCTGAATTGAACTAAGATGAAAGTATAAATGGGAAAGTTGCAAGATAGAATGAAAATTGAGATAGGAAATAAATATTGACAAAATAACTACATCAGAGATTTATGGTGAGCTGTAAAGGGTGGTAGAGATAAGTCTATTTATTAATGTATATTAAGCAGGAAACCATTTTATATACTCTAAATTGGAAAATTTTTTTTTACAGACACAAGGTGTGAACACAGAGCAATTCACAGGTGAGAGTTACTTCTAGTCATAATTTTATGGGGGCTTTACAGTAAAATAATTTAGTGTGATTATGGGTAAAATTTATAAAGTAAAATGATCACAGATTCCGTATTCCTTTCTTGGCTACAGAATTGAAGAACATAGTATCATATAGTGGGAAAAGGAAAGGGTCCAATTTGTTGTCTGATGGACCATCTTGCAAAAGGCCAGCTCTGTTGCATGCCCAATTTTTGGTAAGTATCTCACTGTTTTTCTCTGAATACCCTTTGGAAATTATTCCTGGGATAATTTTAGAAGGAAGCGAATGTGCAAATTGCCTTTTCTTTCTTTCCAGACACCACCTCAAACACCAACGCCTGGGGAGAGCATGGAAGATGTTCATCACAATGAATCCAAACAGGACAGCAGTGTCGATCTGCTTCAGAACATTATAAATATTAAGAATGAATGCAGCCCAGTTTCACTGAACACAGTCCAAGTTAGCTGGATGAGCCCTGTGGTGGTCCCTCAGAACTCCCCCCGAGAGCAGTGTCAGGAATTCCATGGAGGGCAGGTCTTCTCTCCACCTCAGAAATATCAACCGTTCCAAGTCAGCGGCTCCTCACAAATGATGGACCAGGCTTCCATGTACCAGTATTCTCCACAGAACCAGAATGTAGAGCAGCAGCAGCAGCAGCAACAGCACTACACCCACAACCCAACTCTGGAATACACTTCTTATTCTAGAACTTCCCAGTCTCCCAACTATGAACCAAATATCTTTGATGGTCAGGAAGCACAATTCTGCCCCAACCAAAGTTTTTCATCCCTTCTAAGTAGTTATGGAGACTCTGAGAATATTGCTGTTGCCATTCAGACTTCCCCCAGTGTCCAGCAACAAAATGATGCCCACCTGCAGAACTTCAGCATGATGCCAAACAGTGCCTGTGAGTCCATGGTGGGGCATGATGCAGGCTCTGCTTCTTTAAACACTTCACTGCCGTTCCAGAATATCATTGGAAATCCAATGAACACCACACAGTTAGGAAAGTCGTTTTTTCAGTGGCAAGTAGAGCAGGAAGAAAGCAAGTTGGCAAATATTTCCCAGGACCATTTTCTTTCAAAGGATGCTGATGGTGACACGTGAGTATCCTTTTATCTCATGTACTTAATTTGGTAAGCCACGCTTATTGGACCCAGGGGGCACAGAATGTTTCTAGGATATACCAACTTACACCTTAGTGATTGGCTGACCAAGATGACTAGTGAAGGTAGAAACTGCTACTCAGTGATAGCTAATATTTCAGGAAAGGGTTTTCCTTTTAATTTTTTTATGAACAAATTACGTTTTCTAATTAATAAAAATATATGTGTCTTCTTTGAATAATTGGTTTTGGAAGACCAATTTATGCTGTTTAATATTTCATTTGAGTGCAAAAAGGGGCTTTCTGTGTCCTTTACAATGGTTAAGAAAAAAAAGGATTAAAGGAAGAATTTTTTTTTTAAAAGATGAGCATGGTGAAATCAGAATTAATTCACCTGTTATCCTTTCCTTGTTCCCCAGGTTTCTCCATATTGCTGTTGCCCAAGGGAGAAGGGCACTTTCTTATGTTCTTGCAAGAAAGATGAATGCACTTCACATGCTGGATATTAAAGAGCACAATGGACAGGTGCGGATCCTGACAAAGTCTGAAATGGCAAAGATGTGTTCATGGTGAAGTGAATGACTACCAGTCTCGTGTGGGTCATTTCAGAGCACAAGCTCAAGAGAGTTTAGTTAATATTGACTTTGAGGTGTTGAGTTTTTGCCACCATCAGCCTTTACATTAGCAATGTTAACTTTGTAATTATTTGACCAAACACTGAGTATAATAAAGTCACACCCTAAGCTTATTTTAGTTTCTTTGTCTTACACTGTCTGATTGCTTATTAATAGGATTTATTTTCTCCATGTGGATTTTTCCCTCATAGTTTAGTTTCATGTTCCTTGTTATGATAGTATTATGTCTAAAAAGTACTTTTTCCTCTTAATATCCACAGAGTGCCTTTCAAGTGGCAGTGGCTGCCAATCAGCATCTCATTGTGCAGGATCTGGTGAACCTTGGGGCCCAGGTGAACACCACAGACTGCTGGGGAAGAACACCTCTGCATGTCTGTGCTGAGAAGGGCCACTCCCAGGTGCTTCAGGTAAGAGACAGTGAACCAGGTTTCCATTATGGCAGGGCCAAAGAGATAGGGCTTGGATATGAGAAATCAGGTATAGGTTGCCTGTTGCAATCTGTTTTGAGATATTAATCTATTTTTGACTTACTTATTTCTTGGGGTACTAATCGATAAGTATTTGTGTAACTTGACTTTTGCTAACAGATATCTATTTTAAAATTTTGCAGGCAATTCAGAAGGGAGCAATAAGGAGCAATCAGTTTGTGGATCTTGAGGCAACTAACTATGATGGTAAGCAGCTAAAACTTTATTGGATAAAGAACCGTTTAGAGAGTGGGGCCCATAAATTCTAAGGGTATTAATATTAAGTATCCTACTAGGAAGGAGGTAATTAAAGCTAAAATATTCTATTGACAAAATGAACACAAAGACCCAATGGAGGGAATATTCAGATTTCCTTACTAGTTCTTGTGCAGCCCATTTGTAGATAAAGTTAGAGGCCATCCTTAAGGTTTGTAATTACAGAGCAACCAAAAGACTGGCTGGGGTCCTTGACCACTGCTTTATTATACTTTTTTCCTAGGCCTGACTCCCCTTCATTGTGCAGTCATGGCCCACAATGCTGTGGTGCATGAACTCCAGAGAAATCAACAGCCTCATTCACCTGAAGTTCAGGAGCTTTTACTGAAGAATAAGAGTCTGGTTGACACCATTAAGTGTCTGATTCAAATGGGAGCAGCAGTGGAAGCAAAGGTAAATTTACAGAAAGTTTTGAAATGGGTAGGGGAGAAAAGTGGTTATAGCATTTTTTCCCAAGTGCAGATTGAGACTTCTTTTTTTCTTTTCTTTTTGAATTAGTGTAGTGAGTTGCAATATATGGATAGTTAAGAAGCTTTGATTTTAAAAGATCATTTCATTTGCTTTTTCAATTTCTTTTTGATCTGTAAATTATGATGTTTTAAAAGGTTATTTAGCTGTGAAGAAATTAGTGTTTGTTTGAAAGGGAAAGAATGCTTGAAATTGATACTGTCATTTTGGCTTCCATTTTCATGCACTGTTAATAAACGTAGTGCTTTTCATAAGGGTGTCTTCATTGTTGTAGGATCTGGACTTAATCTTCTGTTTTTCAAACTGGAAAATATTTTATTCTTTTTAAATTTGAAGTTTATTGCTGAGTATCTCCTGTGTGCAAGGTACTAGGTTAGGTGGTTTAGAGGGAAAAAACGCCTAAATCATAAACCACTTGAGGCTTTAGGGGGCTTACTGTCTAATAGAAGAGGTGAGAGTTAAAGCTAAATATAACTCTACAGGGTGGCCACCAAGTCTGGAAAAACAGGTAAATACATAGTAAATGGTTCATTGATAAATGATATTTTTAATCATGTATTATAATACATGTTTCTACATTTTATGGCCACCTGTATGCAAGGGTAGACTGTGATAAGAGGCATATAGGAAAATTAATAGGGAATTTAAAAGGAGTAAGAGAATCCATTTAGCTTGGTATTAAGGAAGGCTTTGTGGAGAAGGGAGAATTCAAAGTGAGTTTCCAAGTCTGAGTTAGGCGTTTGAGAGATTGGGTGAAAAATGTATTCCAAGGCATGGTATCTGAATTTTCATTTCTCCCCGCCTCTTGCCTTTGAAAAGGATCGTAAAAGTGGCCGCACAGCCCTGCATTTGGCAGCTGAAGAAGCAAATCTGGAACTAATTCGCCTCTTTTTGGAGCTGCCCAGTTGCCTGTCTTTTGTGAATGCAAAGGTATTTTAGAAAGCTTCAATAATCACATCAGTGTTGGCATGACCTTTTATATCTTCTTCAAGCTTTTGAGCTCCTTTCATGAGAGTTCCCTTCTTGATGCGTGTGATTTCATGTCTTTGTCTTCAGGCTTACAATGGAAACACTGCCCTCCATGTTGCTGCCAGCCTGCAGTATCGGGTGACACAGTTGGATGCAGTCCGCCTGTTGATGAGGAAGGGAGCAGACCCAAGTACTCGGAACTTGGAGAACGAACAGCCAGTACATCTGGTGCCTGATGGCCCTGTGGGAGAACAGGTGGGGGTCAAAGGAGGCAGAGGAGATGCCTTTAAGTACTCCAGTCTGAAACAAAGGGAGATGAGGTTGGGCAGGGCGAAGGCCTGCTGGTGCTCTTCAGGTGGGCTCTGTCTCTGTCCTTGGCCCACAGTAGTTATTGTAGCATTTTGGAGTTAATTGCTGTGTTTACAAAGTAAGAGTAAAAAATTAGAGGGTTTATCCATGGACCCAAAATTATCAGAGGTGGGATAGTCTTTTCTTCTCTTCCATGACACAAACTTGGGTTTAGAATAAATCAGAATGGTTTGAGGTTTAGAAGCTGATGAGAGAGAAAGTACCAGGGTTCTTGCAGATACCAAGGAAAGATAATCTTTGTTTTGTAAGGTATGAGCCTTCAAATATTGTGGGTATTAAATGAGTTTGCACCTGTAGAGTGTTCAAAACAGTACCAGGCACATAGCAAGTGTTCAGTGAGCATTAGCTGTTACAGTTATTTCTATCTACTAAGTGATACTGACAAGAAATGGAGGGAAACTTTATGTAATTCAGAACCCAGAAATATTTTATATTTTAAACAAAGTTATGCCTTACCAATCAAATATGGTTATGTATTATCACTGGGGATTGAATAGTTTCACATAAGTGAACTTTTCTAGATACAAGAACTTAATCTTTTAAGAACTTAAACTATTTTTGATGAAAATCTTTTCCTGGATGGAATGAAGATGATTGTAGCTGTGAGTAGGTCATTACATACTTTACTAATCACAAAATAAGATATACGTAATGCAGTTTAGCTTTTTCTTTGATTCCTAGATGTCATTATGACCATCATGTTATAGAAACCTCTATTTGTAGAGCTCTTTATAACTTAGAAAGAATCTCTTGATAGTTTGTAAGGTGTTTTATGTATATTAGACCACTTAATAGTCATGAAAACTTTCCCATATAAAGGTCCAGCTGAGAAAATTTAGATTCAGAGAGGTCCCAAGGACAGGAACCATCATTAAATATAAATGGCAGAGTACTAAGCCCAGTATTTGCTTCTACTTCACTCTTTGCAATATGGAGTTATAGAAAGAGGTTCTCAGGAGTATTGAGGGATGGAGGGCCTGTTGATTCTTCCCTAAATGTTCTCAGATTACTCTCCTTTTTGCTCTTGTATTTTGTGTATATGTTTGTTGTGGGGGAGAAGGCCTTTTCTCTTGCTTGTATTGCCAGACTGTGGTCATTGTATTTCCTTCTAGCAACTATCAGTTGTGTTCCCTAACCCAGTCTTCTTCTAAATTGTTGCTTCTGATCTGCTGTGGGATGAGAGACAGATAATAAAATTTGTCAGACTGGGGTATAAAATCAATCACTAGGTTCTGGATGAGCCTAGGGGCTTTCCTGTGATCTGTAAAGTTATGCACAGATGTTTTAACACTTGGATATCATGACAGCTATTTTAACTTGAAGGGTGTTAAGAATGGACTTGTGTGTGTATAAGACGGGTCTTTCATTCTCATTAATTGAGGCTGACTTCAAGATAAGTAAGATATTATAATATACTGTAATTACTGCCTTATATTAAATGTTCTCACATATGGGAGGAGTAAAAATTAGGAAAGGATTATGGGTCTTATTTAAGTTATTAGAGATTTTCAACTTCAGATAATTTTTAACGGAGATGTTACTTTCTTGCACTCAAAGATCTTTATAGGAGATCTGAAATAAACTTTAGAAGGAGTGGTAATATTTTTTAAGTCACCTTATTTTGACAAATATTGTGCATATTTTTTCATATACTTACAAGTTAATAGGAGTGGTGTAGAATATATGTATAAGAAAGAAGTGAAACTCTGAGGGAAATACACCACTTTGACCATAAGAAATAAACCTCTCAAATCCTATTTATTTCTCTTCCAGATCCGACGTATCCTAAAGGGAAAGTCCATTCAGCAGAGAGCTCCACCATATTAGCTTCATTGACTTGGAGCCTGGTCAGCAACACTCACTGTCAGTTAGGCAGTCCTAATGTATCTGTACATAGACCATTTGCCCTGTACTGGCAAATGTAAGTTGTTTCTATGAAACAAACATATTTAGTTCACTATTATATAGTGGGTTATATTAAAAGAAAAGAAGAAAAATATCTAATTTCTCTTGGCAGATTTGCATATTTTATGCCAGGTATCTGGAATCTAGACATCTGAATTTGATCTGAATTGTAAAATTGCCTTCAATTAACAGTAGCTTTTGGATAAGGAAAAGACTTTGATTTATGGCATAAGGCATTGTTCATGTAGCTATTGCCAGTTTCAAAGACAGTAAATTGTGAACATTTCTTTAAGAAAAATGAAAGCATTTAAAGGAAAAAAATAAATCAATAGTATTGAGGCTTCGTTTGGCCTGATGGAGTACCTGGTAGTTATTACTGCTGTTGGAAAGTCTCTAGTCATTGGACTAGATGAAAGGTGTCTATGGTTAGAATCTGATCTTTGCAAACTGTATATAATTGTTATTTTTGACTTTAAAAATATTGTACGTACTTGGTCATTCATATGGCCATATATGAAATATGTAAATCAATAAAATAGAAAAAATACAAGTGAATTATTACTATTTAAAAAAATTATACACATTCAAACAAACAAACAAAAAAATTATACACATTCAAAGGAGCCATTATTGTGGAATTGTACAACTAAAGTCTTTGTAGATAAAGTAGATGAGTTGTTATTGGCTGAAAGAGCTGTGTTTGAAATGTAAATATGCATTGAAATGAGACACATTATTTATAGGGAATTGCATGCTCTTGAAGAGAACACCTCTTTATGGCTCACCAACTAGAATTTATAATTTACATGTCGAAGTTTTTTTTTTTACCTTTATAGAAACAACAAAAAGTCAATGTTGAAACATGTTCCTATTTCCTATTATCAAATAATGATAATGTGCCATGATGTCTTTATTACTATTCAGAAAAAAATGTAGTATTTTTTTTAGTAATGTTAATTCTACTAACAACATTTTGCTTACCTCTGGCATGTCCCGGGGAACGTATTTGGCTTTGATTCCACATTAATTCTTTGTAATAAATTTGACTCATTAAAAACTTTTTTAAAAAAACAAGTCTCATAAGCAACTGATTTAACTTATTTTTATAGCTAAGTACTTAAATTCTTTTAAAAAAGATACCCTTTGGATTGATCACAATGTTTAACCCAGTATGTCTTGTGGACAAAAGTTATAGTCACTTGGTATCTGTAAGTATGGTATGATGCGAACCAGTCCATTCACACTGGAAAAAGTCATGCATGGTTTTAAATAAACATTAATTCACTTATACTGTTTGTCTTAACGATGTGCATTTTCTTTTCCTAGTGCCCTATTTATACTTATTTGTTTGTATTTCCATAGGTAAAGTACTATTAATGACTAAGTACTTTTAAGTTAGTTCATGTATTTTAATTTGGATATTTTTGGAAACATGTTTCCTGAAGATACAAGATTTAATACTAAAAAACTGTTTGCTAAGTACATTAGTAGAGGTTTGTTAGGTTCTGAAAATATCATGGAAATTTAATAGATACTATTGATCGTTCAGAAGTCTATGTGCTAAAAAAAGCTAAGTGGGAGTAGTGAAGATAAGAAAAAGTTTGGAGATTACCAGAATTAGCCTAAGAGCGATAAAAACCTGGAAAGAGCAGTAAATGGGGTTCTTCCCTTTCCCAACATGCGATTTTGACGTATGTGTGAACAAACACATCAACATCTCTGTCAGTATTAATTAATATAATTATTGCACATATATTCTAGTTCCTAACTTTTGAGAATCCAGAGAAAGCTATGAGTCCTTTCTCTGGAAAAATGCGTATAGGCATGTATACACAAATGCTGTATACAACATCAGGGGCTTCACAGCCCCCCAGAAAATTATGACTCAAAAGTTAAGAATCTAGTTCCATTAATGTACACCAAATATAATTTTTCTTCTCTCAAATAAATGAAATCTTAAGAGTAATTTGCTTTGCAAATGCAACTTGATAACCAGAACAGAAGAAATGATATATGCTCACTGATTATAGCTATACAGTGAGCTTTTCCCAACTGAGCTTATATGTTCTCTCAATTAATCTCAAGTTCTCTCATAATTAATCAATTGGACCAGTGTCTAGCAAGAATGTGTATGTGTGTGTGTGCAAAGTTGTATGATAGATAATATGAGACGAAGACTTAAGACATTTTTAGCCCTAAGATGCTTATATGAGAGGACATGTACTTTATTAGGTAGGCCATGTTAAATACTGTTTAGAAAGGGAAGAAATACAGATTCAGAAGAGGAATTTATATATGGGGAGGATTCAAGGTAGACAGGATTTGAGCTGTATTCTCAGAAGAGTTGATTTAGATGTTCACAGAAAGAAAGATGAGGCAGGTTAAAAAACAAAACAACATGAGCCAAAGCTTGGTATTTTGCAGGAACAGCATGTGATTTCAATGTAGTTTGGTTAGACTCTTGGACGGCCAAGAATCATCTTGTGGTCTGCTTTCGACTGGTGATATTCTCATTAGTATCATGTTGGGAAAGATACTCAGACTTTCTAGGGGCTTGGCAGGAGAGGGTGTTGTGATTTGTTAGCAATGTCTGCCGCAGAGATATAGGAAGTGGCTCTTGATGGAATATGCTTTAAAGAATTATCCTTACAGAAGGCAAGACTATGTGTTCATTGCTGCAACTGCAGTGCCCAGCACAGTGCCTGACATGGTAGCAGCTCATAAAATATTGGTTAAATGTGTGAATGAATGTATGCCAATCCTGGTAGGGATCACTGATTTTTGGAAGGAGGTTGTGTTTTGAGCCAGATTTATACTCGTTTTATTACAAGTATTAATGAATTAATGACTATCATAGTTCTGAACTTAGCCATCTAATTTAACAGTGACATTGATGATATGTTAATGAAAATAGACAAAGTTGGATTTTTTTTTTAAATTTTTTAAAATCAGCCCCTTTTTACAAAGGACTAACTCTAGTACTATAGTTTGGTATTCACTAAGGGATCCTCACAAGAGTCAGAAGCCAAATCTTTCAGCTCTATTTATTAGTCAAATCAGTAACATTTAATGTCCTTTCTAATTTTTACTTAACCAAGGGTGGAGGATTTCCTTAAACTCCTCTAACTTTTAACAAATGTCTACTTCTTAAACGTGGTGCCACTAACTTCCATTTTCTCATAACATCAGTTGTTCTGTATTGAATGTGACCACAGCGAGAAATCAGCTTCAGGCCTGGGTACAAGGTTTGAGATCAGTTATAACCATGCTTCTGTGTTTTTGGATTTTCTTTTAGTGCCCTTGATTAATTCTTGACAGAAGGGGAGGGACTATCTAATTCATCATTGGGGGCCCCATACCTAGCACAGTATCTGACAGATAGTAGAAATTCAATAAATAGTTCTTAAATTGAATTTAATTTCATGGCTCTCTTTTTAATTTATTTTTTCTTGGCATATTGTATACTTTAATGTATAAACATTTTATCATTCATATGAGGCTTATGATTTAATCCATAAGTACTTTTATGCTTCAACTATACACCAAGTCTGGTTTCACTTTTTCTCATTCCACCTTTGGAGTCTGCACAGACCCAGAAATATTGCATGGTGGTGCATTTCCAGGAGTGAGATGGCAGATTTCTCTCAAAGTGTGTCTTGCTTTCTTATATGTATTATCTGTCATCCTGCCTGTGTTCCCTGCTCCCTGCATCACAGTGTTCCTTTTACCTATCAGCTCAAGAAGGTTTTGAGATGAGAGTAACCAGCAAGTCCAGTTGCTGAATGTCCTAGGTTCAAAGTTTCAGTCTTTGGTGAACATCAGCATCTTTTGTGAAGCTGTTTAAACATACAAATAGCTAGGCCCCAGCCCAGACTTCCTAAATCAGAATTTTCAGGGTTTTCAGTGCTTCTGGCAGGTATATGTGAAGATGATTCTAGTGCACAGTTTTGTCTAAATTAACAAGAAAATGTAGATTTTTGAGAGTAACTGTGGTTGGGCAGTAGCCATATGGTGGTAACAGAATGGATTGTTGTAGTGCCCATGGGGATGAAGTAGCAACTGGTGAATTCCTGCAAAGTGCCAGGCACATTAGATCCCGTGGTATAGAAACTAGCTTTGAAGATGAAATCATGAATCACCTAGTCTCTTTTTCTGCTTTCAGGAAACACTTTTCTAAGGTCATTCTGGTTTTTAATTTCCCTAATTGCAAGCTTGGTGGCTTAAACAAGAGAAATTTATTCTCCCTTAGTTCTTGAGGCCAGAATTCTGAAATCAAGGTGTCAGCAGAACCATGCTCCCTCCAAAGGCTCTTTGGGGGTACTCCTTCCTTCCCTATTCCAGCTTCTGGTGGCTCCAGATGTTGCTTGGCTTGTGTCAGTATAGCTCCAGTCTCTGCTTCTGTCTTCATATGGCCTTCTCTTCTCCCTGTGTATCTCTTACAAGGATACTCGTCACTGGTTTTAGGTCCCATCTGAATAATCCAATATGACCTCATCTCAAGATTCTCAATTACATGAGCAAAGATCTTTTTTTCAAATGAGGTCACATTCACAGGTTCTGAGGATTAGAATGTGAATGTATCTTTTGGGGGTGGGGGTCACCATTTAACCCACTACACCAGTGAAAGAGGATTTATAATCTTTTCTGCTATATTTATTTCTCTTACAAAAGAATAAGATTAATATTTCCTTTTGATTCTTTAAAAAGATCAGCAAAATTTGCAAACCTTTATATAGACTGACCAAGGAAAACAGAGGAGACCGAAATTACTAAAATCAGAAATAAAGCAGGGGCATTAATAAATAAAACATTGTCATAATGTTTTTTTGTGGTAGGATTTGGCTTCCTTCTCTTTCTCATTTGCATTTTTTGTTCTACCAGTGGGTTTTGTTCTTTCTTGTGTTTTCATTGTAGTGATTATTATCTTTTAGATTCCAGATGCAGGACTTCCTTGATGATTTCTTGTAGGACTGGTTGTGTGGTAGTGAACTCCTGTAGTTTTTGTTTGTATGGAAAATACACTATTTCTCCCTCGTTTCTGAAGGATAGCCTTGGTGGATTTAGTATTCTTGGCTGGAGTTTTTTTTGTTTGTTTTTTATTTTTGTATTTTGAATATATTATCCCATTTTTTTCTGGCCTGTAGAGTTTCTGTTGAGAAGTCTGCTGTTAGTCTGATAGGGGCTCCCTCACAGGGGACTTGATGCTTTTCTCTTGCTTTTTTAAAAGATTCTCTTTGTCTTTGAGCTTTGCCAGTTTGACTATAATGTGTCTTGGAGAGGATCTTTTTGGGTTGAGTCTGTTGGGGGGTCTTTCAGACTCATGGATCTGAAGGTCCATGTCTCTCCCTATACCTGGGAAGTTTGCTGTTATTATTTTTTTGAATAGGTTTTTCATGCCTTTTCCTTTCTCCTCTCCTTCTGCAACACCCATGATTCAAATGTTTGTGGTGCTTAAGGTTGTCTGTAGCTCTCTCAGATTTTCATTTTTTTAAAATTATTTTTTCCTTTTTTTTTGTCTGCCTGGGTTATTTCAAAAAATAAAGATCAGAAGTTCTTTCTTCTGCTTGTTCTAGCCTGATGCTTAAGCTCTAGGTTGTGTTTTTTATTTTGCTGAGTGAATCTTTTAGTTTCATGAGTTCTCCTACATTCTTTTTTAAGGTATTAATCTCTTTGTAAATTTCCTCCTTCATATACCAGATTTTTTTTCTTGTCTTATTATGTTGTCTAATTGAGTCTTCTCATATCTCAGTGAGTTTCCCCAAGATCATTGCTTGGAATTCCTTTTCCGTCATTTCAAGGGTTTCCTCCTCTATAAAGTATTTGAGAATTACTGTATTCTTTTGGTGGTATTTTCTTGGGTTTTTGTATTTCTAGTATCTCTACATTGATGTCTGGTCATCTGGCAGAGAAGTTGCTTCTTCTATTACTCTGGAGTGGGTTCTGAGCAAAGAGACATCGTCTTCCTTTTCCAGTGTCTGCTGGTGTCAACGCAGTGAGTGTCTGGTAGGTTACCTGCCTGGTGGCTGTGGCCACTGCTGGGGCAGTGAGCCACTTTTGCAGCAGATGTGGCTGTGGTGGGCCATCTGCACCAAAGTGGTGTTTTCGGCATGCTCTCCTGCCTGCTAACTGGTGGGGTGTGACACCCTCAGCTCCTGCCCAGGGCCCTAGGCATGCTCTCTTGCCTCTTCCAGGCAGAGGGGGCTGCCCTTGGCCAGTATTTCCTTTCTAAAAATACTGTTTTATTGTGGTAAGAACACAACATGAGATCTGTCTTCCTACACTTAAAGTTA